GCTATACTGTTCTGAAGTCATGGGGCTCTTCTGGTCACTGCACAGCGTCTTAAGAGGGAATGCTATGCATGAACACAGAGCAGGGAAATCCTATTTAAAAAGCATCCCATGGCTGGCCTTTTAGGCCTTTTCTGTGAACACGAATAGGATCATGTGCTTCGTGACTAAAACTGCTTTGGAATCAGATATATCCCTTTGGTTTCCCCCTGAGTCTTTGACAGTTGAGGCTCAATAAAAATTTAGCACCTGCAGAAAGTGCAGGTTTCTAGCAAATTAAAGTCTCCTGATTGTCGAGATAAAAGGAGGGACATGCAGTTGGTCTCTTGCTCAGTAATTCAGCCCTCAGGTGGGGAGCCAGGGACCAAGGAAGCTGGTGGCATCTCCGGAGGAGGGATTTGGCATGCAAATGCCTGTCATAGGTGTAATTAGGTTTTCATTTGCTTCTCAGCCTCTTCATTGCCTCCCTAAGTGCTGTGAAGTGTAGGGTTCTTGGCCTGGCATTTTGCAATGTTCTGGAAGGACCCCATGTAATGAAGACGAGGGGGGAAAGGAAAAGCGCCTTGCTTTGTCGTTAGGAAACACCGGGAAGAGCAGAAGTGTGGGGCTTGGACCATTTATGCAGTACATCTAATATTTTTCATTTCATTTCTGCACTGCCCAGTAGGCAAAGATCTCCAAGTTGTTTGTAGAGAGTCAAAGGTTAAAGATACATCGCAGAGAACACATACACGAGGACTTAATAAACATACAAAACACAGAAAAAGAAAGTATCTTAGACGCAAGACACAAAATAGCTAAATATTTTAGACACAAATATGTAAAAACTATTTAAAAACAGTCAACCACAAGAAAAATGGAAGACCCGATGAAAACCTCATCCTGTTTCCAGATGCTTGCGAGAAGATGGCCTTAACTTGATGCTGAAAAGCCCTTGCCGGGGAAATCATTTCGTGAAGTGGGAGCCTGCCCCTGTGTCTGCTTTCCCAGCCGCCTTTACAAGAGGCACCTGGAGAAGGTGCCCTGAGATGAAAACGAAGGCAGGCTCGTGCCGAGAGAGCAAGGAATGTCCATTTTATTTTACTTTATTGTTGTCGTTTATTGTCATGGATCCATGATGATAAAGAGCAACCTAGAATTTTTCAAAATGCAAACCGATGTCGTAGCGCTTCAGAGAGAAATGCCACACTCTGTGCATGTCTTTGGATTGTGTTGCATTTATCCGGACCCAGGGCAACCCCTTGCCGTGTTCTCCTCTCAACAGCAATCCTGTAAGGTGGGCCAGGCCGAGAGTCGGTAACTGGCCCAAAGTCACCCTCTGAGCTTCGTGGCTTAGTGAGGAGTAGAACCCAGATCTCCCGACACGCCAGCCGCTGTGCCACGGTATCCAACAAGATTCCAGAGTGGTCTTTTAAATTGCACGATGCAATTTAAAATCTGATAATATCGTGAGAATCTGTTCTTGTGGCAATACGTGTGCAAGAAGGGCTTGTGTCCCGTCGTCTCGCCAGCCTCCGGCTCCGGCCTCCAGCGATCGTGTGCCACCGTGCCAGGAAGGCTCCTGCTCGCGCTCGGCGGTCCCTGGACCCGGCCTGGGCTGGATTTCAAGGCTGCCTTTCGCAGGCTTCCCCTCCTCCTGGCCGCACTGCTCAAGTTTCTGGCATGCCCACAGCCACTTGCAAGTGGAAAACTTTCCTCTCGCTGCCTCGGAAGACCAGCGCGGGCAGGGTGTAGCCGGGGAGGGACGGCATGGGGTTCGTGCGGGCTTCACCGCCCCCTGGCTGGACTCTTTAGAAGTGATGCGTCTTGCCGCCTTCCTTCCCCACTGCGGGAAGGGCCAGCGATCGACGAGACGAGAGCCCACGAGCGGCCCGTGGCCCGGTTGATCCGGGGGGGGGGGGGGGGGCCCCCCCAAACAAACCCCCCGGGGGGGGCCTTCCCCCCCAGTGCCCCCCCCGCCCCGCCCCCCGCTTGTGGGCCCCCCCCCCCCCCCGGTTTGGCCCCTCAAGTCCTTGTGGGTTGAGGGACGAGGCTGAGTGCGGAGGGGCTCTTCCCTGAGAGCCTGGTGAACTTCTGCCTGCGATCGTGGACCAAAGATCTATCTGACCAAGGAGGACTTTGGTTATCCTGCTCACGTGCCCCCGGGTACGCTTGGCCAGGCCTCCAGGGTGGCCAGCCCCAGACCTTCCCAGAGCCCCGAAAGCCCGTTCATCCCAATGGAGGGTCGTTTTGCTTAGTCCAGTCGCCACACGGGGGGCGACTTTCAGGGCCGACAGCTCCAGCTTGCAGCACCCTTCTCCTCCCACCCGAATCTCTCCTTGCGCAGCAATTCAGTTGAGAAAACCCCTTCCCATTGTTTAGGATGTTCTCAGGCAGAGTGCAAATAAAAGCGTTTATTCTGAGGTTAGTTAGATGATAAGCTGATCTGCCACCGCTCCTTTCCCAAGGCTTCTGCTTCGCACCCTTGGGTGTTCCTTCCCTGGGGGGTCGTCTTTCTCTGCCCCCCCGTCCGTCCCTCCGCACAGTCTTAAGCTGGCCCTGTGCAGAGACGGAACTCCAAGAAAACACCCGCTGCTCATCACACGATTTCCAGATCACACCAGATTTTCCTCCAACAAACAATAACGAGCTGCAGAAATGGCTGCACAGCGCAGACGCAGCATGGCGTGATGACGGCCCCTTGTGACGCGCCCGGGCGTGCGCTTCGTCTACAGAAGCCCCCTAATTATGCACAGATTCGTGTCCTTTGGGCTTTAGCCTGACATCTTTCAAGAGGCCTTTGTGGTCCCCCGCGCCTTTTAACTGGACGTGCTGGCGAGGAGCCCGAGCTTTCTGCAAGCAGAGTGTTCATTCCACCAAGGCCGCCCCCTTGTCCAGGTCTCTGCTTGGAGCGAGGCTGATGGGGCATGTGGTTCCTTTGCACTCCAAGGTAGCTAGTCCCCTGATGGTTCCTCCACCAGCCGGGGGAACGCAAGCTTCACATTCCGGCCGGCATATGTACCATACCTTGAATGCTCGGCTCCGGGAGCGGCTGGCAGGCATGTGGCGTGGTCAGTCCTTGCAGAAGGAGAGCGCGCAGGCCTGAGTCGGAGCCGCCGGGAAAGTGCAGGGAGAAGGGGGTAAGGGAAAGGGGCCCTGGGATCGCCCTTTACCGGCTGTCCCGCATGCGACCCTTTTGTGTGTCTCGTTCCTGCGGCACCCAGCACTTTGGCAGAGTCGCAGGTCTTCTTGCCCCGTCTCGGAGGGTTTCTTGGCTGTGCTAGCAGCCGAGGAGGGCAGGACAGCTCGGACAGCGCTGCGGTGCGGGACGGAGCTGAAGCCAGAATTGGTGCCAGCGCGTATTCGGTCAGACGTGGCTGCAGCGGGACGGGTGGCCAGTTTCGGTGGGCCCCTTTGGGCTCCGGGCCCCCCTTCCAAGTGCCTTGGGTTGGCGCTGACTCTGGCGCTGGGAAGGGTGTGGGGAAGGGCAGCCAGCACAGGACGCTCAAGGTGCCGGAGCGCTTCCCACGGGCAAAGGAGAACGCGTGTGGGGATTTTAAGTGTCGGGAAAGGCTCCTTCTGGGTAGAGAGGGAGGATGTGCAGATAATTCAGAACTGGTCTGGGGGGTGTCTGCACTCTTACCTGTCGTTTCCCAGGCTCAGTTCAAGGTGCTGTGTTCATCTTGGAGGCATTAAAAGCTTCTGGACCTGGCTACCGGAGGGGCCACCTTGCTCAGCCCGAACCTGCTCCGTTACTGGAACATGCAGGAGGGGTCGGTTTGATGCCCCCCTTAATGGCAGAGAGGGGAAGGGGCCTTTTCCCTGCCCTTCTCCCAAATGCCACAATGCCCCCCCCCCCCCAGAGCTGCCCCATCTCCGCAGGCGTCACCTTCCAACTTGCTCTTTTTAAAATCCTGTTGCAGTGGCTTTTAAGGCTGTTTTTACAACTTGGCTGAGTCTTGATCAGTTCATGCCACTTGTTTTCCAGACGTTTGTAAACTAGCCAGAGAGACCAGGCAATTGGCAGGATAGGAATATAATACAAATTTACATTATTGTGATATAGTTTGCAGAAAGACAGTGCAGAAATGTGGGCAGTAACTAATTATAAATAGGAAGAATCATAGTATGCAACAGTTTGGGTTCAGGTCTAAAGAAAAAACCCACATAATGGGCAGCTTTTTACTTTTTAAGGGCTAGGGAAACCCAGCAAGAATTTTCCATCTCCAAAAGGAATAACGAGGGATTGAGAATATTCGAGGAGGGAGAAGGTGAAGGAGAATGGAAGCAAAGGAGGCTGGGACTGAGAAAACAAACCAGGGTTTGTCTGACTACCTGCCAGACAGTCCCTGGGTTCAACAAACCATGGATCAACCTGGTATGCAAACCGGGCTTGTTCCTTGACTCGCACGGTGGTGTCGGGGTTAACACTCGAAAACACGCAAGCGCAGGAAAACATCTTACCCAGCACACTGCAAAAACAAGATTCTGTCCTGCCTCTTAAAAATAGTTCCGCTCCTGCTTCTTTCAACAACCCTACAAATAAAGCAGAAACAAACCCCTTTCCAGCTGCTGAAATTGCATCAGGCATTGTTGAGATATTTTAATGCCAAACCCTCTGCAGCCAAGGGGAAAGAGTTTTGTCTCAAAAACTGGCAGTGTGGCAGGGTGACGTTCTCTGGAGGCGCCGTCCCGTACGAAGTAGAACTAGTATTCATTTTTTTTTGCACTTAAGGGGACCTGCCGAGTGTGCAGATAATATATTATTGTATGCATTATATTCTTTTCGGCATCAGGCAAAACCCTTTTTATTTCCCCGTTATTTTAACGTTTAATCGATTTTAACGGGGGTTTTAGTATATCAATTGTCGGACGCTGTGGGGTTTGTTTCATTCCACTCATTTTTTGTGCGCCGTCCCGAGATGCTTGGAGCGGACGGGTTAGAAAAGCTTTTAATTAATCAATAAATATCCTGAACCGTGTTATCACATTCACCTACAGAGCTGGCTTTAATTTCTTTCTAGATTGAGACGTTGGAACGAGCAAACCCAAAGGATTGGCAAGTGAGAAGCAGGGAATTCCTGGGGCGGTTCCTGTGTGGACCAAGCAGTCGACGAGGTGGGTGGCCGGACAGCACGGCCCATTCTTGTTTTCCTGTCTCTCCCTCTCCCTCTCTCTCTCACACACACATTTTCGGCTTCTGCAGTTTTTATTAGCGTGCCCTTCCATGTAAAGACACCTGAGCTTTGAATTATGCAACCAAGTAATTCAGGAATGAAGGACCCCATGACTGGGGCTCACAGCTTATGGGGTTCAGATCTGGCCCCCATTGCATGGCATTCCTTGGCTTTAACCCCTTTCTATGCCGCCACCACCCCTTTGGCAGTTCTCTTCCTTTTATGCGCCAGTCTAAAAGCCTGAAATGAAAATCTGTAAGTGTAAATTGGCTAATGCGTTTGGTAATTTGGCCTCACCTCTTTCGCCTTCGGTTCTGCCCCCCCGGAGTGCTGACCCCGGTGGAATTCTGCCTTGGGCGGAAAAAGTTCGGCACCTTCGGAAGCCTTCCTTGATTAAGGGTGCAAATCGCACGCATGTTCAGGCAGAGGTCCCACGGCTGGCAACCTTCTTCAGCCAGCCACGTCCCTGTTTAGAAAGGGTTAGGTAGTGGGAAATTTTTTTCTTAGGCCCCGATTCCCACTGCAAGCTAGGAATGATCGCGCTGGACTAGAAGGAGGTTCTTTAGCTCTGCTGCCCCAGTAATCGCAGGCGGAGTTGTGAGTAAGCCAAGCTATTTTTAATGTGCTAATCTGACTGATTGGTGGGTGTGTAGAGCAACCTCGCAGTCCTGAAACACTGTCCGGACAGCCGAAGGCTTGTTTGGACTCCCAGCTTCGGGGCTGGAAAATTGTTCTGGCCTGAGAGCTGAAGAGCCATGCTCGGATGCCCTCTTTCCACAGGGCCACCCCTCAAAAGACCATGCCAGCTGGTTTGCTGAAGCTGTGAAAGCGACCTCAGAGAAGGGGGATCGTGGGAGTGGGGGAACCAGTGCTTTCAAAACAGGACATATTCTCCCCCCGCAGGGCACCAAAATGAGCATTCCTGCTGTTGGGCAGAGTGGGAGAAGCGAGGGGGTGCCTTGTTCTCCTTCCGGTGCTTCTCTGTACAGCATCCCTGTGGAACGGTGTCCTCTGAGGAAGGGCCGAGCAGCAAAGCTGTGCTACCATCCTGCACTCTTTAGCCGGTCCTCCAGTCACGGAGAGCGGCTTCATGAGCAGTGCAGTGTAGTAGGCAGAGCAGAAAGCCAGGTTTTGCCATTGCTGAGCCTAACCACTCATGGGCTGGCTTGGGATCAGTCCCCATCGCTGTACCGTGGACCAGTTAAAAACCTGCCTCATCAGTTTCTGTGGGAAAGTCATCTGCACCACCCTGAGCTCCCGAGAGGGAGAACGAAGCAAGCACAGAACGAATAAACACGTGTTCCGTGTGCAAAGCTACCAGCTTCGGCTCTCGGGGCTGCAGAGCCTGAGAACTGGAGGGCACGGGTGTTAGTTTTGCAGACGGCCTTCACTGTGCAGCCGGTAGGTTTCCCTTGAGCAATTCTTTCTGCTCTTTCGTTTTAAGATGGAGAAGGAGGACGAAGGTCCCCGAGAGATTTTGCTCCCTGACTGGCAAGGCAGCGGTTCTCACGGCATCACGATCGATCAGACGGATGAAGGCGTTTTTGTGAAGCGAGTCCAGGAGGACTCTCCGGCTGCCAAAGCAGGTGTCGTGAAGGAAGGTCAGTCACGTGCCCCGCGAGGCTGGTCTGACACAGCCGCCCCCTCTGGGCAGAGCAAGCCCATCCCTTGAATCCCGCTCCCTGTTTGCCACCCTCTTCGTAGCCAGCAAGCTTCTGGTCCTCATTGTCTGCCTTTATTTTAAAACATCGTACTGCCCTTCCTGTAAAACTTCACCCTAGAGGACTGTTTTTAAAGAAATCCCTGCTTTTCATGCAGGTAAAATCTGAAAAGCCAGGTGACAAGCCTGGATAAAGTGCAGACTTTTGAATTAAGCTTCTCAAAATGATGCCTGGGTGAGCTTTCCCCAAGCTTAGAGAGTAAAATCTGGAAGTTGTGCAAAAGCACATCTCCTTGAAAAGATCATTTGAACCACTGCATTTTTATTCTCTTGTGTTTTATGGTTTTTGCTATTACTGTCACCTACTTTTATCTGTATGTATGTATGTATGTATGTATGTATGTATGTATGTATGTAGGTCCTATTGTTGTTATGCTGCTGCTGAGCTCCCTACTGTGCCTAGATCTCTTGGCCCAGTTAGGGCTGGCTTAACCCACAGGCTTCTTGGAAACTTCTGGCTGGCTGCAGCGGAAAACAGGGCCTCTGTCAGCAGCAGTCTTCCGGTGTCCAGCCCAAGACCCCTCAGAGTTTGGGTGCTCTTCCTCTGCTTTTTCCCAGGGGATCAGATTGTGAGTGCCACCATCTACTTCGACAACTTGCAGTCTGGGGAGGTGAATGAACTTCTGAAGAATGTCGGCCATCACACCGTTGGCCTTCGGCTGCAGCGAAAGGGAGACCGGTCTCCGCTGCCAGGGCAGTCTTGGTCCCACGACGTCTTTGCCCCCAGCAGTCCAGAGGTGGTCCTGGTGAGTGAGGGTCCCCCGCGAGGTGCCCATCGTCAGCTGTTGGAGGAAGAACCAGGAAAGGTTCCTCTGGGAGAAGCTTGAAGGAACCAGCTGGGCTCACGATCTGCTGGTCTTCATGGCTTTGGGTACTCCAGTCCCCCAGCGAGCTTCATGATCAAATGAGGGTAACACCCGGGTTTCCCAATTCCCAGGACAATACTCTCACCACAAACAGATGGATGAGATCCACATTTTGTGAGTGCCTCCACCTGTTTTCCATTGGGTTTTAAGGTGAAGAATTAGGTTTAAGATAAAGAAAAGAGGTAGACAGAAGATAAAGCTCCCAACTGACATGTAGGTATGCATAGAGATCAGCATTTTGTGCTTGTCCTCTGTGCCTACATCTTGTGCTCTGCATGCATAAGCATTTAGATTAACAACCCATTCCCTCTGTTCCAGAGCGGCGATGACGAAGAGTACAGACGGATTTACACAACGAAAATTAAGCCTCGCCTGAAATCCGAAGATGGCATGGAAGTGGAGCACACGGGGACACAGAGCCGAACGATCACCGTCACCAAGAGGGTCACCGCTTACACGGTCGACGTGACGGGTCATGAAGGCACCAAAGAGATCGACATCACGAGCCCAGAGTTTAAAATCAAGATTCCCAAGCATGAGCTCACTCGTATTTCCAAAGCAGAAATTGAAACGGAGCCTGGGAAAACAGTCATTAAGATCCCTCATGCAGATTTGTCCGGGAGGACCACTCAAGTAAGAGACTCGCCCACCGAGTTGAGAGGAAGGCCAGAAGTCACGTATGCTGGACCAACTGCTGAATCACCCTCCCGCAAGCTGGAGTTTGGCGTTCCTGATGTCCGTGTGGGAATGCCCAAGGTGGGGAAAACTGATACCCGTATCTCTGGCCCTGATGTTTCTGGGGTAGGTTTGAAAGGCCAGACAGGCTTGGCTGCGGGATTCCATGTTGCAAGGCCTGAAATAAATGGGAAAACGGGAGATGTTGCTGGCATAGACTTGAAAACGGGGGTTGTGGGAAGCAAAGTACCACTGGTGGAAGGAGGTGTGGGAGGAGCACAAGCCGATCTGTCCTTGCCACACCTCAGAGGTCCTTCCGTGGGCATTTCAGGGCCACAAGTAAGTGGAGAGCTGAAGGGTCCGCAAGTGGATTTTCCTGCGGGAAGGCTTGAAGGCAGCATCAAAGCCCCCGATATGGACATCGACAGCAAAGGGAAAATAGCATTTCCTGCCATGAAAATGCCCAAGTTTGGCATATCGACTCCAGTTGCTGATGTTGAGGTTCCTCAGTTGGATGCAGCTGCTCCAACAGTCCAAATCAAAGGCCCGGAATGTACATTAGGAGAAGCTGGAATTGCGCCACCACAAATAGATGTGGGTCTCAAAGGACCGGACTTGAAGGGTGGAGTGAAAGTTACTACACCAAGACTAGAAGGTGCCAAGGGGGATTTCAAAGGCCCGAGAGTGGACATAGCTACACCCAGTATTGATATTAAAGGCCCTGGAGAACATCTGAAAGTCAAGACCCCTCAAATATCCATACCGGACATTGACTTGAAAGGCCC